TGAATGAGTCTGCTTAAAGATGTCGATTTTGTCTATCTTTTCAAAGGACCAGCTCCTGGATTTAGTGATCCTTTCAATTGTTCCTTTGGTCTCTATGTCATTCAGTTATGTTTGATGTTGATTATTTCCTTCCTTCTACTCACTCTGGGCTTTGTTTGTTGTAGTTTCTCCAGTTCCTGAAGATGTACGGTTAAGTTGTTTATTTGAAATGTTTCTCTTTTTGAAGTAGGCCTGTATGGCTATGAACTTCCCTCTCAGAACTGCCTTCACTGTGAACCATAGGCTTCGGACTGTTGTGTGTTCATTTTCATTTGTTTCCAGAAACTTTCTGATTTCTTCTTTGATCATTATTGAGCCATTCATTGTTTAATAACTTGCTATTTTGTCTCCATGAGTTTGAATATTTTTGAATTTTTTCCTTGAGGTTAGTGTCTAGTTCCAAACCCTTTTGATCTGAGAAAATGCTTCTTATGATTTTGATTTTCCTGAATTTGTTGAGGCTTGTTTTGTGTCTTATCATGTGGTCTATCTTTGAAAATGTTCCATGTGCATTTGAAAAGAATGTGTATTTAGCTTCTTTGAGATAAAAGGGTCTATATATGTCAGTTAAGGCCATTTGATCTAATGTGTCATTGGGTTCCACAGTATCCTTGCTGATATTGTGTTTGGAAGATCTACCTGTTGTTGACAGTGGGGTGCTAAAATCCCCTATACTAGTGTGTTGCTTTCTATATCTTTCTTGAAGTCCTCTTAGACTTTCCTTATATATTGGGGTGCTCCTATGTTGAGTACATCTAGGTTTACAATGTTTATGTCTTCTTGATGGATTCTTCCTTTGAGTATTATGAAGTGTCCTTCTGGGTCTCTTTTTATGGCCTTTGTTTTGAAATCTATTTCATCTGATATAACTATTGCTACCCTGGCTTTTTTTTTCTGTCCATTTGCTTGGAATATATTTTTCCATCCCTTTACTTTCAGTTTGTGTAGGTTCTTTGTTCTGAGGTGGGTCTCTTGGAGGTGCATATGTGCAGGTAATGTTTTCTTATCCATCCAGCAACCCTATGTCTTCTGATTGGAGCATTTAATCCATTTACATTTAAAGTTATACTGATAAGTACTTATTCATTTTACTGTTTTTACCTGTGCTCCTCTCTTTCCTACTCTTTTTTTATCATCTTCTTAAGCAGTCCATTTAGCATATCTTTCATGCTGATTTGGTGGAGGTCTATTCTTTTATCCTTCTTTTGTCTGGGAAACTCCTTATTTCATCCTCCATTTTAATTGAGAGTTTTGCTTGGTAGAGCAGTCTTGGTTGCAGGTCTTTGCTTTTCATTACTTGGAATATTTCTTGCCATCCCCTTCTGACTTGTAGTGTTTCTGTTGAGAAGTCAGCTCCTAGCCATATCGGGGCTCCCTTGTATGTTACTACCTGTTTCTCCCTTGCTGCCTTTAGGATTCTCTGTCTTTGATATTTGCCATTTTCATGATGATGTGACTTGGAGTGGGCCTCATTGGGTTCCTCTTGAATGGGACCCTCTGTGCTTCCTGGACTTGTCTGACTTTTTCTCTCCTCCAATGAGGGAAGTTTTCCGTCATGACTTTTTCAAACAGGTTCTCTATCCTTTCCTTCTCTTCTACTTCTGGTGTCTTCATTATACAGATATTATTATGTTTCAGGTTGTCCTGAATTTCCCTAAACACCTCTTCATTCTTTTTGAGACTTTTTTTTATTTTCTTGCTCTTTCTGGGAAATTTTTCTACCTTATCCTCCAGCTCGTTGATTCGACCCTCTGTTTCATCTAACCTTATTTTGATTCCTTCTACTGTGTTCTTCAATTCAGAAATTGTATTATTCATTTCCTTTTGCCTCTTTTTGATAGTTTCTATGTCCTTTTTCATGCTGATATAGTTTGCAGTAAGTTGTTCATAGTTTCCCTATAGTTTTTGTAATTCTCTCCGATCTCACTGAGCTCATTGAGCTTCCTTAGAACTGTTGTTTTAAAATCAGTATCTGACAGTTTACTTGCCTCTACTTCATTCAGTTCTCTTTGTGGGGATTCCTCATTCCTGTTTGATTTTGGGGGGAGGGGTGTTTCTGTTTTCTTCCCATTATTTGTGAGACTCCTTTTTTGCTTCTGCTTCTTAAATTGATCTGTCTTGACTTCCTGACTTTGTGGTGTAAATTTCTATGGCAAGAGAATGCTGTTTTTGCTTTCTGGCTCTGCCTCTGATGATGTCAGATGTTGTCTCTGTCTGGCCGTAGGCAGTGTGTTCGAGACTTCCAGGGATCTACTGTTTGTGGCTGTCTCCTTCAGTTGTTAATCTAATCACTCTGCACTCAGTATTCAGGCTTTGGCCCCCCAGGGCTGTGCAGAGTCCCTCCTGGGGCCAGGGCTACTGTGTCCTCTCATTTTGCTGCTGTTCAGGGCAGTGGTCTGCCTCAGCAAGATGGCTGCTGCTATATGGGGGAGGAGTCAGCACCAGGATGCCACTGGCTACTCTCTCTGTTCTCTCCCCAAAGCCTCTGTCTCCAGAGTCTCCTCAAATATCTCTAGACCATTCTGCACCCCCTTCAGCCAGGGATCTACTATCTCTGGCTGCCATGCTATACTCAGCAGTTAGACTTAAGCACAACCAGGCCAGGGCAGAGCCTCCTGGGGGCTGGGCTATTGTTTCCTCTCATGCTGCTGCCACTCACGGGAGTGGTCTGTTTGAGCACAATGGCTGCTGCCATATGCGGGATGAGTCAGCACTGGGATCTCGCCAGCTATTCTCTCCCCAAAGTCACCTCCCCAGTTTTTTCTCAGGCATCTCTAGCCCAGTCTGCCCCTGCCTTTGCCAGGCCCCAGGGTATGTGGCTGGAAATAAAAATGTATGTGTTGGCCCTTTAAACAGCTCTTTGCATCTCCAGCTGCCCATCTCTGGCAGAGAACAACCCTGCCACTTTTGTAGCTGGCTATTATCTGTTTACTTTTGGGGCTCTGCTGCTGTAGGCTGGAGATCCTCACTTATGGTTTAGACCCCACTCTTCTCAGGGAGATCCAACTGGCCATTTAAATAGCACTCTGGCGCTGCTGCCCATGGGCACCCCGCCCTTCTTTTCAAGTCTCTACCACACTCGTTACTAGTCAGGTTGTGCCAAAGTTGATTCCTCTGTCTGTCCGAGGTTACAAGGGTCCTCTCTTGCTATTGTTCAGTTGTTTGTTCCAGGTGATTTATCCACAATGTAGTTGTAATTCTAGATTGGTTCTTGGAAGAGGTCAGTGTGACTTCCATTCACTCCTTTGCCATCTTGCCCTCAAATATCTGAGTCTTTTTATTCCAGATATTCTTATTGATGTTGGATCAACTGTAGTTTTATATGTGTTTGCTTATTTGTTTACATCTCCACCTTATTCCAGAAACAATTTAAGATGGCTCACAAGGATATATGAAACTCAAGATTGAATTAACTAAAAATAAGGAAAGACAAGGGAGAAAAAAGATGGGTATACAAAACAAAGTTAGGAAGAAGGTTAGAATACTCATGCAATAAAAACCCTGAGTGCCCTAAATTTGCCTAAATCATAAATTGGCCCTAAATTTTTAGAGCCAACATGAAAAGGTCAGCTAGTGAGTTACATAATTTACAACAGGCCCTGGATGAAGAAACTGGTTGCTCAGAAGATTCAGCCACTCTTAATAGTGCACTTTTTAATATATTATTCACAAAAGTCATACCTAACAGATGTCATTCACAATGACATCTTTAGAGAATGAGTTCCCTCAGTGTAGATTCTTGGATCTTGATGAAAAGTCATTTAGTCACAACATGAGCAAAGGCAAACCAGAGCAGGTTAGATATGGCATGGCCTCAGGTGGGAAAGAAACACATATGAGTTTTTCTTGAGGGGCTAAGCATTTAGAATAAAAAAGAAATCTGTTTCCATAGATGTATTTCATATTATCTTTTCCAGGTCAATGCTTTTGATATTCTTGGTAAGCAAGATGGAGCATTTTTAAAATAATCAAACATAAATAGAGTAAATCTGAAAAATTATCCTATATTAGAACATGGTCTGCTTAAGTATTGGATAGTGACTCCTACCCCCTGCCACCTTTGAGTCATGAAGGAGGATATGAGAAATATCTCCCCACCATCATCAGAAAGTTGGAGATGTTTCTCTAGAATATTCTTCCCCTTACATCATAGTAATTTTGTCTGCTGTGAATAAAGGAGTTTCTTTCCCCTGAACTAATATCAGGTGGTTTTCTACATCAGACAGATCTGGATTTAAATTCTGGCTCTGCCACTTTCCATGTGTTATCTGATATCTTTGGACCTCAGTTTTCTGATCTTTAAAATGGGCATTAAAATGCTATTTAACATGATATTTTAAGGATAATTTCATATGAAACCTCTCACCCTTAATAAAACACTCAAAAAATTATAGCTATTATTGTTTCCCACTTAGCACAGTCGTAAGTATGCTATAGATAATGCATAGGTTTGTTGAATAAATGAAGAATGAACAAATATTCCCATCCAGGAATCTTTACCAATCAGCAAATCTCTCTAAATATTTGAAATCATCATAACATGATGGTTAAGAACATGGGTTCTGGAATTGGGGGTTTGAATCCTGACACCATTACTAATCATCTGTAGGGATTTCAGACAGGCTGCTCAACCATTCTGCCTGAGTTTTGCCATGTGCAAGTGGGATAATAATTCTAATCTCTTTACTGGGATATTGGAGCAATTAGATGAGAGTTATATGTACTTAACATCATTCCTGGGATATAGTAAGCCTTTAATCAATATTACTATTATTATTTCTTTTATATAAATATAAATATAATATCACAAAACTTGCTTTTATTTGTTTTTCAACTTTTCCCCATTTCAATACTATGCACTCCTGGAATTTTCCAAATGACAAATAGTTGTATGAACTAAATGACTTGTTTCTAGTATTCACATTTTTTTCACAGTTTTATCTTTCTGTTTGTTTCTATAGGACTTCATCGTCACTGTAGTCTTTTCATTCTTGTGGTTGGTGGGTTCATCAGCTTGGGCGAAAGGACTCTCTGATGTCAAGGTCGCAACTGATCCCAAAGAAGTATTGTCTCTGATATCAGCTTGCAAACAGTCATCCAACAAATGCATGGCTGTCCACAGCCCCGTAATGTCCAGCTTAAACACTTCTGTGGTACGTTTTCACCTATGTTTACCTCCCAAATCTTTGTTTGCCAGTCAAGTGAATAAAATATCTTAGAAGCTGTCTTGGAAATTTCTGCCTCCAAAACTAGGCCACTCTAACAGGTGATATTTCACTCCATATGCAAGATGATTCTTTGGTCTTGAAGTTTCTATTGTTAGAACCCATAGATTTTAACGCTACCAATTACAAAATTCTTAATAAGAACTCAGCATGTATTAGCAGCTGTTGCTTGGATGACAGTCAAGTCAAAATTCTAAGCAGGAAGAAGATATAAAATTTAACTTTAAGGTTGAAGCCTGCCAGAAGTTAAAAATGAATATTTGATGGCATATAGGTTTCCTGGAAAGAAAAGATTGTTCAAACCACACATAGAATACATCACATTGATTTTTTTGAGGAAAAATACACAGACCTAGTAGGATGCAGAAAGAAATACAATGTATTCAAAAACACTTGTAATTGGTATGGTTATTTTTTGTCTTCTCCATGGTACTAGATTAGTTACTTGATATGTCAGAAAAGCTGAGCTATAAAAGCTGAACAAAGTCAAATGTTATCATCAAGTGAACAAAGTCTTTTGGGAAGACAGAAAATCTGACAGACAGTAGGGATGCTAAATTGGATTCTTATTTTATGGGTGTAAAAACTCATGTTATTCCAAAGAAAGAAACTATGTCTGAGAAAGACAGAAGCTATAATGGCAGCAAAAAAAATTTTTTTTTTAAGTTATCAAAGAATAAATGACTCAGCAATATTTGCTGAAGGAATGACATTCTTCAACAAGCCCTGAACATAATGATCTTTGTTTCAAGGTTAACTTATCTTTCTGCAGCTTTCTGAAATTTAATCTGAGAAGGTTTATAAAAAGGGAAAGAGAGTTCCTGATTATTTGACTATGAATCTTGCCTGTGTAAAATACTGAACATGGAAATAGACTATGTATTAGTGTCTCACAGTCATTTTTATTGATTGTTGGCCACACCTGTGGGTGACAACTTTAGGTGTACATTAAAATATATTCCACTGCTTCTGTAGCTTTTTCATATGCAGTACTTGATAAAAGTTAATGTAACTATGATCTAAAAATCTCAGAGAACAAAGCTAAAATGTATTTTTTAGTTTAAGGAATAATCTTCTATATAAAGTCATGACGGCCTGCATAGTCCTTTTAATTTCCTTTCTGATGTCTCTATGAAGTTTCAGACTAAGAGATAGGAATTTTTGAATGAGACATAATGTGATATGTTTCTTAAAACCAAAACTGAGGATAATGGAAGCCAAAAATATAGGGTAAAAAAGGGCAGGACTGGTTCTGTTACAGTTATTGATTATTTCATGAACAGTATTGATCAAGATATAGTTAACTGATCATATCAGTTAAGGTTCCTAGTGACAGGAAAACTCAGCTCAAACAGGCTAATGTAAAACAATCCTCATATCCTTAAAGTCCGTTTTTTTGCACCCCCACTCTAGCACCAACATTTCTATGCATTAGACCACCTCGTTGCAAGCAAGAGAAACTGACTTCAACTTCATCAGGAAAAAAAATCAAGTCCCTCAGAAAACTGATGAGGCCTGAAGAAACCGGCCTTACAAAAAGTAGGGTCTAAAGCAGGACAAGGTCCTAGATGTCAGATACTGAAAAATGGTGTCATCAAGTTGCTGTTAATGGCAAATTGTATCTAACCTTGCATAACTGCTCAAAATGCAAAGTTCCAGGAGAGAGCTCAGGTCACTTGACTGCAACTAAACCCCACAAAGGAAATCAAATTTTTATCACCAAAGGCAGAGAGAAAGTATTTAATCTGCTAAAACAAAACCATTTTTTTTTTATTACAAATTCATTTGGCTTCAAATCATATTGAGCTAGCTTTTAACAAAAAGTGAAAATAATTGAAAAAAAACCACTAAAAATGTGTCTTCCAAGGGCAGAACTCAAGGCCAGGACCCTGCAAGGCAAGGAAACTTGACAGTTCTCATCCTCCCTCCTTCATCTCTGATTCTGTCTGCATGTCTGCTACATTATTCTTCTTATCAGATCGATCTTTCCCTCTTTTTTCTGCTCATACAAGAGAAGATAGCCACCCTACAATTTCTGAGAGTTTCTATTTCTTTTTAATGAAATGTCTTGGATAGAACAAAAACCACTCAGGTCCAATCCCAGGCTTCTGGAAGAATTTCATTAGTCCTTCTTGGGCCAGGTGTGTACCTTGGTCTCATCAGTTATGTCTCAGGGATCAGAGGAAAGGTATAATAGACACATGCATCACAGAACTCACCCTCCTGGGCAAGAGTAGGTTTTGGAGAAGGAGCCAGACACACACCCTAAGAGATAACCTGTACAAATTAATAGTTCAAGCAACAACTATGATATGTTCTACCTGGGTAACAATTCACTTTTTTCAGAGCACTTTGGTATCTATAATTTCACAATAACCCTGGTAGGCAAACCACCCAGATATTTCAGATGTAGGGAACTCCATCCAGTAAAAGGATTTGAATAAGGTTTCTCAAGTAGTTAGAGCAGTGCCAGACTAGAGCCAAGTTCTCCTAGTGCTATTGCCACTCAAAGTGGTGAAGGGCTCTGTTCTTCAGTTAATCTGCTTAGGTTTTAAATTCTGGCTCCATTGCTCAGCAAGTGACTGCTCTTAGGCAAAGTAATTAAGCTTTCTAAACTTAGTTTCGTCACCTATAAAGTCTAGTTTTTCATCATCTATGAAATGGGGATATTATAAAAGAGACCTCACAACAAGACTGTTGAAAGGATTTGATTGTAATAATACATAAGTACTTAGCTTAAAACAGTGCCCAACATATGGCAGATGTTCCATAAATTGCCAAGGAAAGCTGCTACAAAAAAAAATGCATTTATCTCCTTAAATTTCATGTAATATTAGAGCCACACAAGGAGAGAAAAGAAAATTTTTCTTTTCTCCATTTTCCTTTCAAAAGTTCACTGCCCTTTTATCCATAATTTCTACTTCTGTTTCTCTGGTTTTACAGTAGGTGATCTTGACACATCTTCTCAGATCATCTAGATTTCATCCTCCCCTGCTTTCTCATGCCATGTGGAGTCTCTCTTTCTGTTGTCTTCACATCTGAGCTTGAATCAAAATTCTGACTCCAATTTCAGTTGCAACAAAATGGCAAGAAAACATTCCAGGGTCTGTGTACCCCTAAAATGTGCCAACTATGGGATCTGGTATTTCTGTGATAAAAATAGAGCAAGACATCACTCTTCCTTAAATACGCACATGGCAATGCCTTGTTTATATTCTTTATTTAATTTGCATTTCCTTAATGTCCAGGTTCTTCTTGGGCTTCCTTTTTTTTAGAAACCAAGTAGCATCAGGGGAAAGAGACCAAGGAATAGAAAATATTAAATGACAGCTCCTGGCAGAGCTATCCCTTTATATATGAAAATATTCCTTGATAATTTTTTCTACTCATGTGTAATATTGTCATATTCTTACAGAGGTACAGTTTAATCAAGAAGTCCCCTTTGATGGTAAATATCCTAGTTACTATACACATAGTTAATAGGCCCTATATGTAAATTACAGTTATATCAATGATTACCCAGTTCATTTTGATAATGCAACTGGTATAAGTTCCTTATACTAGTGTAATAGTTTTGTATCTCCCTCAGCAAGGAACCTAGAGCACAGCACAAAATAATGTTAAAAATATGTCAGTTTATATTAAAGAAAGGAAAGAGAACGGAAGAGGAGAGAGGGAAGAAGGAAAGGGAGGAAAGAGGTCTAGATAACCAATCTTCAGTAAGATCAATTAGCGTCCTAGATAGTCAATTTTAGTTATTGACATCTTGAAGAAATGGCCTCACTGGCAAAACCTTACTTCAATTTATGCTGCAGAAAAAGAGTCAACTGAAAATAATTCACAGAAATGTTTTAGAAAGTGATTCAGAGCATAACTTAGCAATCAGTGAGCACTTACTGATGTGCCCGTCACTGTCTAGCTGCTTCATGCATGTCCTTCCCCAAAGGAAGGAATAATTGTTTTCATTTCATATGAGGAAAAATGCTGAGATTCAGAGGCTAACTGCCTTGTCTATGGTTATAGAGCAAGAAATTGCAGAGCCCAGGCCACTGTGATTCCAAAGCCTGTGGGTACGACTCCAAGGCTGATATTCAGTCAGTCAGTCTGATCCACTTGCTGCTAAAATATTGAAATACCTTGGTAAGTAGGTCCTGCTGCAAGCAAGTCCCCAAAGCCACTCCTGTTGACCATGCTAGCCTCTACTCCCACCCCCAGAGCATTCTGGACCACCCTATTGTTAAGTAACCAAGGGATAAATTCTGACCCAGTGGAACTTCCAATGCCATACTCCAGAGCTATGGTTCCAGTCCACTTTGACTTGGAGTGACTCCTAAATGTACTTTAATGTCATCACAGCTTTGTATCATACTACTTTGTTAGCTATCTCCTACGGGTCTGCCTGTGGTTAATTCCCAGGTCAACCAGTCTGCCTTGGGAAAAGTGGCAGAACCACTGTTCTGTCTGGGCCTCTGGCAGCAGCAAACTCTTCTTCTGCCATTCAACACTTAACACCTGGTCCTCTGACTCACTCAATGACATGCTTCCAGAGAATAAAAGGAATTTCCATAGGAAAGTCTTACCCCCCAGTTCCAGAGAAAATACTTCATTCCTCTCTGAAACCTGCACTTCATTCCTAATCTTTTTTTTTTTTTTCAGTATTTCCCTTCTGAATGTGAGAGGCACAGAAAATACAATTATTTAGAGTAGGCAACCTCTCTGGCCACCATCATGCATATCTTAACTGCATACATTGTTTATTCCAGACTTCTTTTTGAGTGGACTCATTTTCTATATATCATTACAATAACTGGAAAAATAGTATCTCTATCTATAAAGGAAAGTCAACCTTGTAAATTAATCCACCATCATTAAAATGAAAATAACTCTATACTCCTTAGAGATAACTTATACACCAAGAAGAATACTCAGGCTATGGAGTCAGACAGAACAGGGCTTTGAATTCTGAGATCTACTACTTACCAAATCATGTGATGTTGAACAAAATTCATAACCTTGTTTAACCTCAGTTTTCACATCTTTAATTTGGGTATAATAATAGCACCTTCTTCTTAAACTAGCTAAACTGATACAAATAAACCCTTTTGTGCAGTACCTAACATGTAGTAAGAAGTGAACAGTCAGATATCCTCAAAATTGAATACTGACTTTTTGTATTGTGAAGTGAATAGTGACTTTTTGTATTGTGAAGGATCTTTCTGAAATTGAGATTTTTTTTTCCCTTTGGGTTTCTGTCCTTTGTATCAACTCATTTGCTTTGGTTCCCCTTTAGGTGTTTGGATTCTTGAACTTTATTCTCTGGGCTGGAAACATCTGGTTTGTTTTCAAGGAGACTGGTTGGCATTCCTCAGGACAGAGGTATCTTTCAGACCCAATGGAAAAACATTCAAGCAGCTATAACCAAGGCAGGTACAACCAAGACAGCTATGGGTCTAGTGGGGGGTACAGCCAGCAGGCAAGTTTGGGGCCATCTTCTGATGAATTTGGCCAACAGTCCAGTGGCCCTGCCTCCTTTACCAATCCAATTTAACAGGGTAATATTTGCAGTCTGCTAGAGATAGCCTCACCACCTTCCAGTGGCAGAAGCATTTTTTAAGCGTTTCAGTCACTTATTAATGCAGAGAGTGTTGAATATAAACTAGAGATATGTAATCCACATTAAAGCAGAAAAGCCTGTGTCATGGTAAATGGTACTTAGAGATGAGATGACATGAGAAGATATATTATTCATCATAGGTGGCTAATTGGATATCATACCTTGTTATAAACACAGATACTTTCATGGTGTTTCATATGTGTGTTGAAATAGTTGAAACATTTTGTAGCTTAAAGTCTCTAGTGTGTAATATGCATAAAGTAAGTTAAATAGCACTGAGTGTTCCTATGCATTTTGATGCAAAAGGCATTTTAATATTTCTATAAGACTATTTGGTGCATTACGGTGTGCATGTATTTCTTTTTTAGTTGTAGGCCCTATAGGATTATGAGTCTATAATTATTTGTTTCAGACAGTTACCCTGTATTTTTTTTTATTTGATGAAACAATGCTTATATAATTTAGTGCATGAATAGACATTTTCCGCATTTCAATGGTATTTATGAAAATTTTCTGGTATGCACCAGGAATTTGTTAAATGTACATTTAAAAATATATTCATACTTTGTAACTTGCAAATTTGTCTCTCTGGCTTCACCAGTTCTGAATGAATTATAATTAAGGTTTGGGGTTCTTTTTTCCCTATTAGTAGATATCCAGTATTAATATATGGTAATTTCTCAGTATTTATTCCATTTACTTAGCTAAATATTTAAATTCTTATAATTTTTTATAGTATTTTGTGGATCTTATCCTATGCACCAAGAACAATAGGCCCAATAACTGTTTGTGTTTATGGAGTACTGTTTTCTTAGAATAATAGACATGAAGATATCAGACACCATATTCAAGAAGCTATTGTATTGACATATTAATTTATAAAGAATAATCTGTAGAACCTAGACTATAAGCTAAAATTTTAAATCCTATTTATTTATAAAATCAATATGCTCCTCAATTCGGTTATTAAAAATTCTCGTCACCTCGACTTACTAATTACCAATTCTAATTTGAATGTTACCCATAAATTAAAAATTACTTCCATGAGTCACTCCATATCCCAAAAAAGGGTTCTCATGAAATACCCCATAAAATGTATACATTATCAAGAAAATGCCAGTCTTTGCCTCTTTGTTTTAACTCGATTGAAATGCCAGGGCCAAACAGTGAGGAAAAGCTGAGCAACTGTACTTCTAGATAAAAGTTGGTATCGATGTATAAACTCATTGTGTGATCTGTGATGTTGGAAGCATTTTAACACAAAACAATCTTGATATCTGTAATTAGTTTCTGGATCCTGTTGGATAAATTTGTATTGTGATGTCTTTTTGACCTTAATAAAGTTATTGCATACAATGATGGCTGGATAATGTATGCATTATCAAGAAAATGCCAACCTTTGCCTCTTTGTTTTAACTCAATTGAAACACCAGGACCCAAAAATAAGGGAAAGCTGAGCATCTGTACTTCTAGATAAAAGTTGATATCAATGTATAAACTCATTGTGTGATCTGTGATGTTGGAAGCATTTTAACACAAAACAGTCTTGATACCTGTAACCAGTTTCTGGGTTCTGTTGGATAAATCTGTATTGTGATTTTTTTTACCTTAATAAAGTTATTGCATACAGTGCTGGCCGGATAATCGAGAATCATAACCATAAAACCTGATTTAGCTTTCACAATGAAAGAACAAGGAGTAAATGCACAGTGTTTCCCATCTCTTACCCTGTCCTTGTTTCATGAGCACAAGAGTGTTCAGTCAGTCATTCCACTATTCTAGAAACTTCTATATACCCATCACTATGCAATGGGGATAGGATAGTGAGCAAAAGAAGAAACATGCCCTACCTTGAAAAACTTATACTCTATTTGAAGAGACACACATAAAAATAATCATGTCCCAGTTATGCTCTTTGCAACAAAGAGAGGCACAATATTCCATGAGAACATTTATCAAAGGAACCTGAGCTAGTTAAGGAGAGGTCAAGGAGCTTCAGCCCTGAAGATGGCACAAAGTTCCATAAGGAGAAAGTTGGAGGGGAAACATCCCAGGCAGCTAGCAGCCTTCTGAACCTCTCAGATGATTGGAAGCAGGATGGATACGTAGGGTTGCCAGAGGATAGTGAATGAGGGGGGCTTTGTGAGAGGAGTGGCTGCTGATCAGTGCACAAGTGAAACCTATTTGGAGGCCATGATCCAGAACTCTGTCTTTTTTTTAAAGAAGGTAAGGGAGAGTATTGAAGGATTTTAAGCAGAGGAGGAACACAATGCATTCTGAAATTATCTCAGTGGCTGCAGGGTAGAGGTGAATTGAAAGAGGGCAAGAATAAAGGACATCATGGGTAAAGAAAACAAGCCTTGACTCCTAACATCTTTTGGGCAGTGGGTTGGGAATGGGAGGAGGGGAACCAGCCTGAGTTCTCCCCATTTTCTCTCATTTTCTGGGACACTGTCTGGATTTGACTGCTTCCTTCAGCACTGTCCAGGAACATAGTGGCCTCTGTTTCTTTTACTGTCACAAAATCTCCAAAGCAGAAAATCCCTCATAACCAGCAGTTTCTTTTACCAACACCAGCAATTTCAAAGTACTCTGGGGCTCTCAAATGGAAAGCACCCCCTGCCTTGGTGGAGATAGAGACATGCTTCCACAGTCTGCTGCAGATTCACATACTGCTGCAACCCAACCAGGACTTCCCTAAGCTGGCTTTATTCCTTTTGGTTTCAAGAAAAGAGCAACAGATCTAGCCTTTTAAGAACAGAAGTAATCAGTGCAGGAGGAGCGCCTGGTTCTGTGCATCCAGGAGACCTAATTTGGAATGGCAGCTTCTCTGTTCACTAGCTATATACTTTAAGTGTGACTTCACTTTCCTGAGCCTTTGTCCTCTGGAGGAGATAAAGCACCTAAGTAAGAAGGGTGGTCCTGAAATCTGACCAGCTAGGCTAGAATCTCTGCATTACCATTTGCTAAATTTTCCTTTTTCATCCTTAAGGCCTTTATCAAAGCCCTGGGAGTTTTTTGAAACCATAGCTTGAAAGCAAATGCAGACTTGAAATGTAGAATAGTTGATAACCCAGGAGCATCCTCAGTCACTGGGGGATGTGGGGAGGTCAATTAATGACTTTGGCAAGATCCTTAACTTCTCACTCACTCAGATGCCCCATCTCTGCAATACAGATAATGGTAATATATGCATGGTAGGATTGATATCAAGATGGAAAAGTTAAGCCAGGTAAAGTCATGAGAACAGCTTCTGGCACACAGTAGGCACTGTCTGATTTTGGGTTCTCCTGAAAACAGGGGAAGACGACTCTAGGAGGTGCGAGTGAGGGAGGGAGAAAGTGAGACAGGGAACAAGGAAAAACTGATAAAAGGTTGCATCAGAGGTGCTGCTACTGAGGGCCGTAGGAGCTCTGTTCCATCGGGATCTGAGTAGTGTTCACAATGGCTCCAGTAATTTTCCATCAATGGCTGGGAGCTGAAGTATTTTTCTACCAATCCTCAGCCCATGTTGACAGAGATTTGCCAACAGGAGTGGTAAGTTTCTCACATTTGTAGTTTGTACCTTCCTGTAGAGTGAGCTGGCTCCTGAAATTTCAGAGAAATAAGCCTTGAGCCTGAACAACTATTGGGCAGTGGGCTGGGGAAAGAGGCATGAGTACTATCACTGTCCTTCCCTTGTCCATTCCTGGTAGCAGCAGCCTTAGAAAGGATAAAGGGGGAGCCCAAGAAGGTGCATGCAGGAAAGTGTCACCATCAACATAAGCAGGAATGATCCTTCACAGTTGTGTCTGCAATCAGAGGCTAGCCAAGGGAAAGGAATGAGAGTATCAAAATCACCCCCTCCAGTGATCAATGAACATTATTATTACCACTCCGTCTGTAAAATGGGAATGTAGAAATCCCACTTCATAGGATATGACATGCACTGACCTGATCATGTATGGAAAGGCTGATGAACTTTACAACCCCCTATGAATATAAATTGGCTATTGAATGATAAGGTATAAGCCTGAATTTTTATAAGTCAAACTTCTAGATGAGCAAAATACAGCTTTTGACATCTTGCAGTTAACCCTCAAGACTGAAAGACTCAAACAATAAATAAGTAAGCATAAAAATATGTAAGATTAAATTTTGGTATTCAAAGGTAATATATAACAGCTATGATTTCATCAATCCTCTCAAAACTTTAGTGAAAAGGTAGATGCCATTGTCCTCCTTTGAAACAGTTGTCCCAGAAGTAAACCCTGAGACAAAAATCCAAGTACCAATAGGAGCCTGGAGATATGAACCAAGGAAGAGAAGTGAGACAATAAATCTTGTGTTATGGAGAAGGTTACAGCTGTGGGCAACTGGGGCTCAAAACCCTGGAGAATCTGAGATACAGAGCAAAATACCTACCACTCAAAATTAACCCCAAAAAGGACAAAGGACTTGCAGTATTATTTACAAACTCTGGTCAGTCTCTGAATGGCTACTTTGGGGAAGTAATGATTTAGACCCCACTGTGCATGGGCCAGGTGACTGTAGCTGACAAAGAAGCTTCCTCAAGCTGTGTAGCAGACACAGTTTCAGTGGAGCAAGCACTGGAAGTTGGGAGTCATCAGAGCAGCATGAATGCAAGGGTGAATTCAGAGGTTATATGGGTTCCTGATAGTGTCTGTCACACTGAGATCTGGCTATGTTAAATAGCTTCACCAACTTAATCCCAATAAAATGACTAGAACTTAAGTCCCTTTTAGTCCTAAGAGATTTTTTTCCATTAACTCCCAGTTAACTTAGCATATAAATATGACTTAACCTCAATATGTCATGTGATTTTATGTAGTTATCCAAAAATGACATTTTTTCATAACAACTATAAAGTAATAACTTTTAATGAGCACTTACAATGTCCACCACTGAGTTAAATATTTTGCATTTAATCACAACAGCACTATGAGATAGGTGCTAGTATTACTCCAAATAAAAGTTTAGAAAATCAAAGTTCAGAGAAGTTAGATCATGACAAAAATCTTTGTGATCATCTCCACTAATTAAAATAGTTCTAAATTGCTGCTATCTACTCTGTGCATCATGGTCTTATCCATTTTCCTATTCAATGCATACAGGAAATGCAAGATAAAAATTGTTTTCATACTCATTGAGCAGATGAGAAAACTGAGATTCATAAAGATCGAGTAACCTGTCAGCTCAAAGGTACTGAGCTGGAAGTAGGCAGACACCAAATTCAAATGCAGGTCTTTCTGTGTCCAAATCTCCTTGCTCTTCCTAAAACCTCAACAGTGCCACCTTACAGCCCTACTGCATTTTAATCCAACTGTGCTTTGTCTGCCCCACTGCCACAGTTAACACAGACCCAGACCATCAAGTGCTTCATTTGACCTTCCATAGTGAAGCCAGGTCCCTAATAGAAGGATAGCTTTTGTCAGAACAATTTGCCAAAAAGAATGAAATCAGACCCAGTTCATTGTATAAGTTAATTAAGTCATTAAGACTGCTAAAGATCCAGTTGATCTAAGAATGATTTCTTGACATGCTTAGCATGGAGTCTGAGGCTTCACTGGGTTTTAGGGCTCAGCTGAATATTCTTCAAATCCTGTTGGCTGACAGCAAGTCATTCCCAGATGGCCCTGGCTCCTACAGTACCCACTGGAACTCAACTCATGAATAATGCACACTGGACATAAAAAGCTAAGATGAGGATGCAAGACTTCCTGGGAGCCTTGTTTTTCTGTCAAAAATATTTGAAGTCTAGCTGAGTATTTTCATTTATAGGGCAGGTCCCCATTATCTGTGCCCTGGTTTACTGAAGGAGGTCATAATAAGTCTAATAGGTTTCCTGGTGGTTAGGAAAGGGTTTGTCTTTCAGCCTGTGTTCTTTTATTCACATTTTGATTACTGACCTCTTGTGGCTTAAGAGGGTCTAATTGGCTTGTGCTGTGAACAAGTCACTGGCCTGGCTCATATGAACTTAATGTCATCTCCTTGGTTTTTAGAAATAATTTCATGTGATATGTTATGTGATTTCATGACATTTTGGTGAACACAAGAAAAGCAAAATACAAACTCAAAAGTTTTTCTTTTTTCAAACATTTTCCTCTTTTTCCTGTGAACTTATATTTTTCCTGGATATTTTCTCTTCTGGTTTTTTTCAGACATTTAAAATCATTCTGACTGATCTCCATTGTCAACATTATGTGTAGAATTTGATACATTCCATAGCTGACACATTGCCTTGAGTATTACTGTCCTTTTTAGAAGTCCTTTGTTAATGTGGATCTCTTGAAACTCCTAGACCTTCTATTAAAATTTCATAGTTGGTAATGGTACATGCTTCCACAGGACTTAGCAGCACAGTGCCACATTCACTCAAGAGTATCACATTTTTCAGCACAGACAGCAGCTTCAGATGAGACTTGAGGTACGGATCTCTCTCTCTTGGGATTGAGAACTGGGTTGTACTTTTAGTCACTGGTAAATGTTGTCACTAGCTTTATCAATGTAAATTGATCATCTGAATTCTAAACAAAAGGTGAAAACATCAGCTCAAACTCAGAGAAACCTGAATTCATATAGTTTTTCAACTGTTATTCTTTTCCG